GTGGATCAACCATAGTCACTGCCTCCGGCATTCATTATTGAGATCCTCTGCTAGATTAAAGTCTTTTTGTCTGAGGGAATGAAGAACCAAACCCCACTTTTTGTATCCAAGTGTACACATTTGTGGAGTAATCTGTAATCTGTAGATCAGATAACTTTACTTGTTTTTCCTTGAACTGATGAGTTTCTCCTAACTCTGATAGTAAGATATAATTTTTAAGTATTTTTCTTCTTAAGCTGAATGTCAAATACAAGAACAGAAAAAATTTCCTTAGTATTAAAAACACTCTGAAAGAAAACAATGAAGACCCGTGTTACAGTGAACTTTCTTTTCCCACATCCCTGTGGAGAAGGAGGAAGAAAAAGAAAAGTTCCAAAGATGAGGAAGAATTTTTAAAAGGGGGGAGAATGTGAGAGAACCTCTAGCCCTTTCCTAAAAGATGGTTGGATTTTTCTGGTTTGCAAGGGGTACTTTATATTTAACAAATGCTTCAACTTCTATATCTGTTTATTGTTAAACACATTTACTGAGAAGTAAACCCCATTAATTTTACTGGGGCTTTCCAGGGAAAGCAATGGCGGACTAAAGATGGCTCTTCGAGTCTGGAGCTGACGGCCATGGTGGAAAGAGGATCTGGTGAATGAATTGGCCCCTCAAGAATCTCTCCGGATCAAGGAGAGGACTAGGATCACCCACAAGTTTGCTCCATGCAGAGACTTGCCTACGAAGAGATTGCAAAATAGCTGTCTCCAGTGTGTTTGAGAGCTCTGGGAGTTGGGGGAAAATTTTTATTATTATTATTATTTATTTGACTTGTCCCCGCCCATCTCCCCACAACGGGGGACTCTGGGCGGCTAAAATCACCCTGCCTAAGCCATAGTTTGGCATCTTCAAACGGACACTGAGTTCGCCCACTTCCTCTCTTAACCACCTTAGCAAATTGCTTGTTACAGATATATTGGATGTTAAGAACCTTCTGAAAGGCAAGTTTTAACACCCTGGGAAAGTTTCCTTCTATCCTGGATGAAAGAAGTTTCATGTAAATTTAAGGATCAAAAAGAAACATTTTTATTTTTGGAAAAAGCAAAAGGAGGACTAGAATGTTGATTTTGGAAGGATAAGGGGCCAGATGGATTTGAAAGAATATTTTCTGTGGATTGTTTAAAATTTTATAAAAGTATATATGAAGATTGTGAAATTAACTAAGAAATCCTCCTGTGGGAAAGTTTTGCTGATTGGAAAATAAACATATGATAAGAGGAGACTTTGAAGGTTGACTAGAGGGAACCAGAGAGAACTAAGGATTACAATTAAAGGAGAAGACATCCATTAATTCATTGGAGCAATATTATCTGACTATAGAAGAAATTAAGGCTGTTTGGGAACAATGTACTTAGAAATTACTTTCAAGATTGTTGCTATAAAAATGGATTTAACAGAGGATACAGAACAGATTTTACTGGACAAAATAGTGACTGAGGCTGACTTGAATGTGGATTTGAAAATGGATTTTAAAAAAATGCCAGATTACAAGTGTGATATGGAAAAAGATGTCACAATGAATTTACAAATTAAATGGGCTGATGTCTTGATACAAATAATAAATCAGGAGAGTGACTTGGATAACCTTTTTATCTTGGATCTTCAAAAGGGACATGTTGAAGCTATCCCTGGGAGGAAAGAAAGAAAAAAACGATAAGAAATCAACTTGTGGGACATTATTTGATGAGATTAAAGATCAAGCCTTTATAAAATAAACAGAAGGAATACAAAGCAGATTTATTTGATCAGGGTTAAAATATATATGTTGTGGTTTCTGATAGCTATTAATGGATTTTTTTTTAACCAGGATTGAATGATGAGGCTTTAAAGATTTGGTTATAAATGGGGAGAGATTTCTTTTCTTGTTTTATTTCTTAGAGAAAGTGATAGGTGGGATTACAAAATGGATTTGATTAAGGTTAAAATATATGGATTATTTTTAGTAGCTCTTAATGGACTTTTGTTGGTTAGGACTGAACAATGAGCTTTTACAATTTGTTTATTGACAAGAGATGTGTTATGGGAAGAATTTTTTTCTTTACTGGAATACTAGAGGTGGTGTTAAGTTACTGAAATTATTTATTAAGTTTATTAAATTGTCTGGGGGGAGTTATTTCTTTATATATCTTTTTTTCTTTTTTCCTTTTCTTTCTCTTGGCACTTTTCTTTTTCTTTTCTTTACTTTTTATATTTTTCTTAGTTTGTATTAGTTTTTTATCTTTGTATTTGTAAATTTTAATAACATTATTATTAAAAATATTTTATTGGGGCTTGTATCCAAGGGTATACATTTAGGATTGCAGCTTTAATAAAGTTTTCTGTAATTGCCTTGGAAACTCTTTTGAGCCAAATGACATAATTCAATTTGTTAATATAACAGGATAAATGTCCTAAGTTCCAGTGCCATGCGTCCACTGATATCTTTCTTCTTCACACTGTAATCTACATATGTGCTATGCATTCCATATACACCTGCATCCTATCTTAACTCAGCTGTATACATTTCTTCACAGTTCAATTCCCTGTTTTTTCCCTTATTCTCTCCTACATTGACTAATTTTCCACACTATTCCTTTCCTCTCCAATTTCCTGCCTGTAGAGTCCAGAAAGCAACCATCTTTTCTGAGGGCATTTTTGCTTCAGTCTCAAATGATAACAGTGGTAGCAATCAGTCAGGCTTTATACAAAGAATAAATACACAGTCACAATTTTTACTCAATGGAAGTTTGCGACTGAGAATGATTTCAAGTCTTTTTTTTTTAAGGAAGAAATATTGGGAAAAATAGAAAACATTACATGTTAAAAATAACCTTGTATCCCAAACATAGGAAAGATATATTTTCTTCAGTCTCATGGTTTTATTACCATAAATAACTGGCTGATGGAAGCAAGCTGTTTTGCTCAAATGTAAACATACTTTTTGGAGAGTAGTCAAGTTTATGTTATTTCAATACTGTCCAGTTTTTAAAAGACAAATATACTGTACTATAATGAGCAGAAAATCTGGGATATATCTTACTAGATTGGATTTAGAGTAAGGAGACTTATGGAAGGATAACTGTAGATGTTTATCTTTAAGGTGTTATGTGATTAAAATAGTATATAGGAAAAAAATATGCTCAGCTGGGCTTCATGAAGTAAAAACACAAATTTTGCCTCAAAGGGGAATTATACTATATACAATGTTGTGGGGATAGCAATGATCCAGTTGTTGGCTTAGCTGTTTACATACTAGTCTCGTGAAAATCCAAATAGGAAAGGGAACAATAATATTCCTTTCAGTTTATTAAAGCTAAGTGAAAGCTCAACTTTGTAATACTTTAAGTAACCCCATACACTCCGTTTTACTGATCCCATATTGCTTTTTGGGAACTGAGCCTGAAAGATACTGCCAAGTTTTGCCATGAGTTTCAGGAGAACAAACTTCCAGGCCTTGTTCCACTCAGATCTGTGCTAAGCATTGCACAGAGTAAATATGCTGCAGGATTAGAGGGTAACATCTTCAGAACTGGCAAAAGATTCACTTCCCCAGCATAGTCCACCATTTTTATCTCTCACCATTCTCGAGAAGGCCAGGGACAGCATGAGACAATTGATTTGTATGGCGTATTTCCTCTAGAGAATCTATGGAGAGAACTATGTCTATGAGGTCCCAAACCCCAGATCTACCACCAATTGATACTGCTCTTCCTCTTAATTCTCAGTGGACTTAATGTCTTTGTACCAAGAATAGGAACTCTACCCTGCCTACTGAATTCATGGCAAAGGAACTCTTTTAACTTGGCACTTTCTAGCTCATACACCAGCTGCTATGCTGTAGCAGCTTTCATGGAAGAGCTACAGCTGTATAGTGTTTCATAGGAGAAGACTGGGGGGTTTTATCCACCATTCAGAATTTTCTATCTGAGATCACATTAGTCTTTACTCTCAAATATTTGACAATGCAGTAATGAAGTTACAGCTGCTTTCTTGTAGGCAGCACTCTTTCTTTGATTTCCAGAATTGGAACGGTAAAATCTCTTGTACAAGAAATCCATATATAATAATGCTTATTCACTTAAGTGTAAAGGCAGGATTATGCATGAAAAGCAGCTCAAGGTTGTCACTGTAAAGTGGTATCCTGAATATTTACCGTATTAAGATCAAAATCAAAGCTAAGAGGTTTCCCAAGTAAAGTAGGTCAATTTCTCCACCAGAAATTTGTCCAAATCACATTCATTTATTTTTATTAAATCATCTATTTAACTATAAACTGAGGAAGGTAAAACGTTCAGTTTATTTTTTGACAATGTTTGCATGATCCTTCATAGACAGGAAGAAAACTGCTTAAGGTTTAAGAATATGAATGGAAAAAAAGCAAAACTGACAGGGTCAGTCACAAAAACAACTTTGGTTACTTAGCATACAGAAAATCATGTCTGAATCCCTGTTGAATTCACCTGGTAAAAATGACTGGAATTTTATTTGTTTTTCATTGGTTTTACCTTTTTTTAACGTTCTAAATTTGCAGATTTTTTTCAAAAGAAAGAATTAGATCATCTTTTAAAATAGATCTGAACATAGGGAAAATTAACCAGATTCAGTCATTCTAATTTCAGTCACAAGTGGAAAAAACCTGAAACAGCTACTATGGTATTGGTGAATTGGCTTTAAATATTAAAATAATGAACAAAGTAGTAGTGTGTGTGTGTGTGTGCGCACGCATGTAGAAATAGATTTGTCTTAAATACATTCCAAGGTACCAGTTTTCCCCACTTGCAAGAAATCAGCCAGGAAAATAGAGATAAAGACTTAACTAGGTCAACTATGGTCAAAGACTATTTCCGTTCTAGGTATAAAGGTGATTTAATAATCTGTGTATACAGTAGTATATGGGCCATGGGCCACACTGAAAACCCTTACTAACCATGGACCCATTCTGACATCCTTGCTCTAGAAAACAGAACAAAGCCATTAAATTCTTGTACAAGTACAGTATTTATATCTTTATTACAAATTATTGATGGCACTAGTTGGATACAACGAAAACACAGTCAGTGTTGCATAGCTGCTCCAATGTATAACTGCATATTCTTCATTTTGTAACTTAAGTTAGCCTGTATGTCCGCTATACCGAAGATCTCTGCAGTCCAATACAAATACATTCAGCGTCTCACGTGTACTTACTTTGAGAAAAAGGGCCACTTTAAAATTTAGGATAGTAAAATTGCTAGTACAGCTTTATTCATATACTGTATAGAAAAACAAGTTTCTTTCTTTCTGATACAAATCAAGTAATTACAAAGTGTTTTTTAAATGCACAGTGCTTTAGATTACCCCATAGCTAATGTGTGCAGCAGCAATAACCATGGGTCAGTTTTGTTATACAGTACACTTTGCACCCTCAGTGTGGTTAGAAGCAATGCCTCTGCAATAAATGTATAGTTACAACATATTTTGAAAAGAAGGGGAACACTCTATTAATTGCCAGCCTAGCTTAGAGATTTTGTAAAATACACAGAAGCTGAATGCTCTATCATATCTCCTTAGCATGAAATTAATGCTGATCATTTTCTGTTGGCACATTCTGCTCCTCATTTGGGCTGTGTTTACTCTTAAGGGATCTTCCAATGTATCTCCAGTATTCTTTCCGTATAATGTCTTTTTCCTTAGCAAGGATTTCACACAACTATAAAAAAGAAAATTACAATTTTGCTTATTATATTCCCTTCAGTATGCACTGTATTTGGGAGGGAGGGAGGGACCAATCCTATACTGAAATCTTACAGTAAAGCAGGAGACATTACTGTAAATTATTAGCAGGAGTAGAGAACAAAGCCAGTGAATAGGGTAACAGTATTCACTCTGAATTCTCCATTATTAAATATTCAACCATCTTACTCCAGGCTGAATTTGTATCCTTCCAGGTCAATCCCTGAAACATCTTATAATACAAGACCAGTTTAATTGATTTGGGTCAGGGTGAACAAGATAAAATGTCTATAATGAAAAAGAAGACACTATGTTGCTTGAAATATAATTGGACCAATTAGATACCATTATTATGCAAGAAGGCAATTTTTAGCTACAGAACTAAAGTGAGAACAGTGATTATACTCATCTTATTTTGCGCAGCCACTATCAAAATCTGCATACAATTTTATAATAATAGTATACCCAGTCAGCAACAGTTGCAATGAATATCCCCACTCATCCTATTATTTGCCCATGTTCATTTCTTTCTCTTTCCTTTATCTCTGTAAATACTTTTAAGTCAGGGATCTGTCTTTTCAAAATAACTGATAGTACTGTTCAAATAAGTTTTGAGATTGAAAGTATAGTGATTTATCAAAACTTACCAAACCTTTCAGCTTCTCAGAATGCAGCACTTTCTTCAGATAATTTGGCAGATTAATCTGACTTTCAAATAAATTCTAAGATCAAGTCTCTTAATGAACACTAAATAAAATACAGGTAGTCCTCGAGTTACAACTGCAATTGGGACCAGGATTGTCACTGCTAAGCGATGCGGTCGTAAAGCACAATGTCATGTGACCGTGCCATTTAGTGACAGCAAACCAGGCAGTCCCAATTGTCATCATATCCCAACATGTGTGGGTCATTAAGTGGGAAGTGGAGGGTGTCCCAGGTAAGGAGTGCAGGAGTGCTGCAGGGGGGTGGGGGAGGTCTTGGGAGGCCAGCGCAAGCCATGTGCAAGTTGGGGAGGGGATGCTCGGTGCAGTGCGAGCTCAGAAAGGCCAGGGAATGAGGGTGCAGGGTTCATGTGATTGCAGGAAGGCCGCAGAAAGGGCACAGGGTCCGTGCGTGTGTGAGATTGCAGGGAGGCCAAGGAAAGGGTGTGGGGGTGCATGTGCAAGTGCAGGGAGGCTGAGGAAAGAGGGTGCAGGGTATGTGCAAATGTGTGTAAGTGCAGGAAGGCCAGGGAACGAGGGCATGGGGTGTGTGTGAGTGAAGGGGAGAAGGAGGGCATGGTGCATGTGAGTGAACAAAGGTAGGGGCAGAGACTTACCCCAGCAACTTGCAACCTTCCTTGCCGGCTTTCCATAGACTTTGCTTGAGGAAGCCAGCAGGGAAGGGCGCAAATGGTGAATACATGACTGCGGGACGCTGCAACTGGTTGTAAATGTGAGCTGTAAGTGCAAGGTACCCGAATTTCATTCATGTGACTGTGGGGGTGCTGCAATGGCTGGAACCTCAAGGACCGGTCGTAAATCTCTTCATTCAGGACTGTCATAACTTTGAACAGTTGCTGAATGGTCATAACCTGAGGACTGCCTGTATAGCTTTCCAACATGGCACTTTCAAAATGACATTCACCTAGACAGGCAACCAGTTGAAAGATAATCTTCCTAATCCTATCACCTATGTGTTAAACTATATTGGCAGGGTTGAAGCAGACAGTAACTATTTCTGATATGGGAAATTACTAAATGGAAGTAAGTTGCTTCTTCAAATGAAATAATATATGGGAAAGAAGAGTTTATAAAGTAATATCCCTGAGGTCAAATGAACAGTGTATTTTATTATACTTGACATGAAACACCATGGTAACTGGCATGTATGAAATTAACAATAGTAAGAGTATGACACATTACATGAATATCAATGCATGGCATTTTCTCCATCTTTTTGAAAATAAAGTTCTGTATAAATTATACTTTGATGACTTAGCTTGAATTTTTAAAATGTCAACTGTATTTGCATTCAGTCATTGCACCAATACTGGCAATATGAAGTCAGCTCTGAATATTTCCAAATTTCTTTAATACCCCCACCCCCCACCCCCAGGAACCTGGTATGATTTTGAGGCCCCCAAAAGTGTTGACTTCAGTGGCCTTATCCCTATCCAAAAAGGAACTGGCCATGTTTGATGGAAATTATGGGGATTTACTGCAACTTCTGTTAAGGACTCCAGGTTGGGGGTGGCTATTATAAAGAACTTTAAAGCTTTAAAGAACTAACCTCTAATGCTTTGTTGAGGGTTTCTTCCTTGTTTTCACACTGGTTTTCTAACATGTCTTCATATATGTCCACCAAGAAGGCAATTAGATAGGGGGAACTATGACTTGGCTGCAATTCCAGTAGCTGTTCTAGCAGGTCTGGATATTTTGAAAGGCCACGATCTTGCAAAATCCTGAAACAAAAAAGGCCCATGAACATCGTATTAAATTTGAATCATCTTGCCATTTTGTTTTGTTTTTTTAATTTAAACATTCCTAGAAACATGGAGATCCTAGCTCCAGTCTCATGTTCTGTGTGCTCATCTTAATAGTGAGAGAAGGAAGAACACAAAGCTGTAACGAAGCAAGAAGGTATTCAATGTTTTAATTAAAGTTAAGCAGCAGTGCATTTCCCTCACACTTCATTTAACTCTCAAAACATAAACCCTATGTTTCCTCATGGACAGAACTTCTGCCCACTTGCTGCAATTTCTGAGGGATGCACTAAGTGGTAAAATGTGATTTTAAATGAAGGACCATTAAATCCAGGACCTAAAATTAGCTAGCTATATTATTGCAGTATTTAAAGCATTAAAAAAATTTATACCACTCTAGTTTGGCTATGGAAAGGGCACAACCTACCCAATATAAAGAAGCAAGGCATTTTTTAAAACCATGTTCCATGCTGTTAGGTGACTGAACATTTATTTTTATTTATTTTTTTATTTACATCTCACCTTTATTTTCTGCAACTCAAGGTGGTGTACATAATGCTCTTGCCTCCCATTTTCCCCATAAGAGCCCTGTGAGGTGGGTTAAGCTCAGACAGAATGACTGGCCCATAGTCACTCAAGTGACTTCTATGCCTAAAGGAGGACTAGAACTCATGGTTCCCCAGTTTCTAGGCCAGTACCTTAACCAATACACCAAACTAGTACTACATAATTCATAACGTGTTCCTTCTATTGGAACTGTCAGCAGGAAATTCTCTAGAATAAGTGTCTTTATAATTTTTCCTATGGAAAACCCTTTTCACACAGAAGAAACAGAACCCTATGTATGCTTCCAGGGAATCCCAGGAAAGGAAATTCTATTTATTATAAAAATCAAATAATGACATTTTTGCATGTTTTGTTTCTGGATTTGCTACAGGTAGTCCTCAATTTATGACCATTTGTTTAACAGCTGTTCAAAGTTAGGACGGTGCTGAAAAGTGACTTGCGAACGGTCCTCGCACTTACAACTATCGCAGTGTCCCCAAGGTTACATGATCAAAATTCAGGCACTTGGCAACCAGCATGTATTTACAATTTACAAGCCATTTGCAACCTTCCCAGGGGATTTCTGACAAGCAGAGTCAATGGGGGAAGCTAGATTCACTTAACGACCACATGATTCACTTAACAACCACAGCAAAAATGGTTGTAAATTCGGGCGCAACTCACTTAACAATCACATTGCTTAGCGATGGAAGTTCCAGTCCCAATTGTGGTCGTAAGTTGAGGACTACCTGTAGTCTTCAGAGATGGCAAGAAAATTGCATCTCTCCATCAAAATAAATTTTATTTAGTAAAACAAAACAATGACTCCTATGGATTCTGCTAGAGATTGCCCACATAGTTTCAAATACCTTTTTTACAGTCAAAAAGGTCAGAAACACTTAACAATAATAATAAAGCTGCAATATTCTTAGCTGAATCCTGAGCTGGTACCAAATTCTGCCCTTCTTTATGTGCATTAAATTTGCAACATACAGCAGCATTAAACATATAAGCCAAACAATCTTACCCTTTCAGGTAATTCCACGCACTTTCATTATGAGGTACCATCTTGATCATTTCTAGGGTGTACCTGAAAAGGTAAAACAAACTAGATAAGGAAACTATGGAACAACCATATATGTCAAGATAGCATAAATCCTGAATGCAGACACAGACATGTAAAACTATTATTGAGTGAAACACTGATTTTCTTTATTTATGGACATTAGACACGAAATATTCTAAGTTCAGGACAGCCGTCCTGAACATTCTGCACATGTTTCAAGAGGTCTATCATCTTGCAATTACCTTAAAAAAAATCCTCCAATCTATGGAGATTTGAAGACTGCTCTAGCCAATAGTAGGCACAATTCCATCCCTATTGCCATTGGCTGGAGATTGTTTAATATTTTTAAAACAATCTCCTTGGACAATTTTAATCCAGATAGTACTCAGCATGGATTACCATATCATCTGCTTTTATGATCTTTATTAAAACATAGAAGAAAAAAAGGGCTTATTTAAAATTCACATGGTTCCTTATAATGGAAATGTTTTTAGTTTTCTTCCATTAATACAGTAATCCAGCGGAGCTGCTCTGTTCCATACTTGGGACAAATCTTTTTTTGTTTCAGACTTACTCCTAATGATAGATACATGTACAGTCAGGTCGAGAAATATTGGGACATCGACACAATTCTAACATCTTTGGCTCTATATACCACCGTTGCAAATCCGTTGCAGTCAATCACAGCCTGAAGCCTGGAACGCATAGACATCACCAGACGCTGGGTTTCATCCCTGGTGATGCTCTGCCAGGCCTCTACTGCAACTGTCTTCAGTTCCTGCTTGTTCTTGGGGCATTTTCTTTCAGACTTACTCCTAATGATAGATACATGTACAGTCAGGTCGAGAAATATTGGGACATCGACACAATTCTAACATCTTTGGCTCTATATACCACCCCAATGGATTTGGAATGAAACAAACACAATGTGCGTTAACTGCAGACTGTCAGCTTTAATTTGAGGGTATGTACATCCAACTTTTCAGACTTACTCCTAATGATAGATACATGTACAGTCAGGTCGAGAAATATTGGGACATCGACACAATTCTAACATCTTTGGCTCTATATACCACCCCAATGGATTTGGAATGAAACAAACACAATGTGCGTTAACTGCAGACTGTCAGCTTTAATTTGAGGGTATGTACATCCAACTTTTCAGACTTACTCCTAATGATAGATACATGTACAGTCAGGTCGAGAAATATTGGGACATCGACACAATTCTAACATCTTTGGCTCTATATACCACCCCAATGGATTTGGAATGAAACAAACACAATGTGCGTTAACTGCAGACTGTCAGCTTTAATTTGAGGGTATGTACATCCAACTTTTCAGACTTACTCCTAATGATAGATACATGTACAGTCAGGTCGAGAAATATTGGGACATCGACACAATTCTAACATCTTTGGCTCTATATACCACCCCAATGGATTTGGAATGAAACAAACACAATGTGCGTTAACTGCAGACTGTCAGCTTTAATTTGAGGGTATGTACATCCAACTTTTCAGACTTACTCCTAATGATAGATACATGTACAGTCAGGTCGAGAAATATTGGGACATCGACACAATTCTAACATCTTTGGCTCTATATACCACCCCAATGGATTTGGAATGAAACAAACACAATGTGCGTTAACTGCAGACTGTCAGCTTTAATTTGAGGGTATGTACATCCAACTGTGGTATATAGAGCCAAAGATGTTAGAATTGTGTCGATGTCCCAATATTTCTGGACCTGACTGTATGTATCAAAGCACTTTCTATATAGATGAAAGAGAGATAAATCATACCTCAAGTAGATTTATTTCACAAGATGTACAATGCCCAAAGTATTTTCAATTTTTTAAAGAAAACCGGAGCACACATTACTGTCTTTAGGCAATGACAAAACTGTCCCAAAACTAAAGTTAAAGATAAGTCATGCAAGACATTTTTACAGCATGGAGCTTCTGTGGCAAATTCCAGGTTCTCCATCATATCACCCCATATTCCCTTTTTTCCCCCCCATTTCTTTCCACTCTACAAGCTTCGTTGGGCTGTTTTAGGAGGGCTTCCCAGAAGGACAGGGGTTAGGGATTTTCTTAAAATATATTTTGTACTTCTACAACTCTGGATTACCACTCCTCTTGTGTGTGGCTATATAGAGATGTACTTGGAAAACTGAAGTGACCATAATCCAAAAATACAGTATGCAGTGCCTAAGTGAGCAAAAGGAGTCTAAAAATCCACTAGGGGGGTGGTGGAATTGTCCATAATAAAATATACATGGCATTATATACTTCTATACATGGCACAAGATAAAACCAACTAAAACATTACATACTGAATTTCTCTCTCTAGAACAGCAGGGTCATTGTAACCAGTTGTGCTGGAAATCACAAAGTATCTTTGGTTCCATACGGAATTATTTCTGACATCTTCTTTCAAAAGTTGCTCAACATACTCCAGTTCATCATCCCACAGCTTAAACTCCTAAACATATAAAATTGAAGGAAACACTGAGAGACTGCATTAGGAAAACGATCTCACTTCCATTAATTCCTCTAACTGAAACAATTATAGATTTAAGAGTTAGTGAACATAAATTCTGAAATGATTATAGCAATTACCGAAGCAGCAATATGACCATCAAATATTGGATACCACATCTGATGTGCCAAAACCAACTAAACCGTAAGCTAAATATTAGATATTTATATCTGTGGGACATGAGTGGCATATAAATCTAATAATAAATAAAATAAATAAATAAATATATACCCTGCATACCTTTTATAGGAGAATGTATGATGGGTGTGAACTAACAACCTGACCTGTTGAAGTATACTAATGCAATAATCAGAACACACAAAATCCCAAACTTCTGTCATAAATGATAAACATAAATGAATGGTTACCATTAATTCCTTTTGGGAAAAAATAAAGCAAAACAAAAACTTCAGCTCCTCCTTCCATATAATACCTGCTCAGGATAACAATGAGCATTTGTTAATAAGAGCTAGAGAGTGATTTGTTAATAAGAGCATCACCTGAATGACCCATTGTCTGTGTTGCCAAGCATGGTAGTTTTTGGCATCCTGATTAAGAATGTCTGCGATGAATTCAAGTTCTTGTGATGGGTCCTTCAACCACTCTACCAAAACCCGCCTGTGGTGCCTAAAAATCAAGATTGTTAAGAAACAATAGTTAGTGTATGTTTTGCTCTTTAGGACATGAATGATAAACGTATAGTCTACCCAGTATTTCTAAAGTACTGGACCCAGTATAATTCACTAGTGATCAAGTTGGCAACAGCTGCAGTTTGACATCTTCTGGTGGCCCTCATGTTCTCTGCTCCTGGTTAAGTATTAACACCATTGCCATCAAACCATCATTCCATGGAGAATGTTGGTATTTACCAGAGATCAGCAGTTTAATGAAATGATACTTGAAGAATCTGTGCAATAGCTTGTAAACCAGGATGGTACTTTTCAAATTCAAGGACTACAGCTAGGGAACTCTAGGTACAGTAGTTCCAAACATCTGAAGGCTATTGGTTGAGGAGTGCTATTATAGATTGCTTATTAGGATATTTTGTACATTACATTCTAACTGTGTTCACACAACACATTTAACAGTACAGCAGTGCATTGCTTCTGATTCAATTCCAGAAAAGTGCTTCTTAGGGCACGGAGACATGAATTTGGTGTTGTTCACACCCCCAATATACTCCCAAGCACTTTCCAGGAATTGAATCAGAAGCACCGCACAGCCCTATTTCACTGTAACCTCTGTCAGTGTCATGGAAATGCCCCTGCTAGGAAAACAGTTAGGAGATATATTTGCATGAGATGCTGAGCCTGGTTATTTTTAAGCTTAAATAGGATTTGTATATTAGTGTCGTGTTTTTTAAATGTTTTTCTCTCAGGACCCTTTCCCACTTCACATTCACTGCCGCTACTGCTTCTCATGGTTGCTTGATGGGATTTTAATATGGTCTTATTTTTCAACATAGGGTAGCAAATCATTTTGGTTTTGTAGACCCCTAAGAGGGACTTGGGGACCTCCAGGGGTCCTAGGACCACATTTTAAGAAACACTGTATTTGTGGGTTAGACAAACCCAGTTTATTTCATTAGTTTATGGTTCAGTGTACTGTGCAAACTGAGAAGATGTTTTCATTCAGTAACCAGGTTAATTGAATTGTGTGAACAGAACCAAGGGATTGTTAGTTCAGCAGAGGCTGAGTTCTTACACCATGTGGCAATGTGACCTGCCTGCATCCACTGAAAAATATTATGTTTTAGTTAATACTAGCTGGTAAGAAATTACTCCTTGTAATGATAGCTTTATAACAGCTCATTCACATGCCCAAGCTATCATTTGATGCTTCGGAAATGCCTGCAAACATATGCCATACCCACTAAAATGGCCTCTTAAGTTGATAATCACATGGATAATAGAACCCGTTGCACAAGAAGAGTGGCGATGATGCATTAAGGAGTAGATTAAGTATAGTGAAATAAGGCCATTCACACAAAGGATAAGAGAGAACACCCAAGCATGTAAAAACACAAGGTTAAATTATCCATCAAAGCCGGGCAGTGGAATCACTGAACTGCTGACATTGTGGATCCCCCGCTGTATTTTTCTCTTTAGCAGATGCAGCTTCTGCATCTTACATGATTCTGTGCTTTGCTGAAATATCCTTGTTTTGCTCTAGCAGGGACTGAAATACATTATTTACATCACACGGTTCTAGCATAATATACAAAGAGCAGCCAGTGTAATAATATCTTGCCACTGTTATTTTATCTTTAAAAACCAAAAGCACCACATGAGAGCACTTTCTCAGATTATGATATGCGTCAGTATCATCATATCAACAAAATCCTGCTCAGCTTAAAGAACTCTTGCTATAACCACATTGAACTTCTGCTTAACAGTCTCTGTGTGACAATTCTGCCCCACGTATTCAGAGGAAAAACACAAGGAATCAAACTTTTTTTACACAGGAAATAACTTTTGTTATCAAAGAAGCCAGGCTTACCAGACTTGATAGTTCTTTGGCTGATCTTCAATGATAGCGGTGATGTAATTGAGTTCCTCGTGTAAGTCTTTCTTCAAGGACTGCAGAAGTACCCTACGGAAATGCCTACAGGAAAAAACGGGCAGGTATTCTTGATACTGAGTTTAGCTGCTTCCCCATATGACTGTCTGTTACTGTCAGGACTTCAAAATTCATCATTTCAAAACAAATAATAGTTCTGACTGGGCATTTTTTCTTTGAGAATCAGAGCCCCAAACCTGTAAGAGGGGAAGGCTGGTTTGCTATAGTTCAGGGAAGGCCCTTCAACTCTTGCTGAACTCCCAACAATGATCAGCCTGAGCCCACAATGGTTAGGAATGATAGAAGTTGCATTATCTTCAACTTAATGAACAGCATTAAGAAGACCTCACACTGATGAATCCCTGCTATAGTTAATGGTAATACACACCCTTCCTTGATGAGCTTTTTGACTTGAAAAATGAATGAACTGCGTCCAGTCAATAAGAATATGAGCCCCAAATACATACAACCCATCCCATGGAAGAAAATAACTGTGCACTAAGTGATCTGTTCCTGTTTAGGTGGTACCAACACATTCAAAACGTTGCTTACTGGATACCTAGAGTTCCTATGATATAAAAATGAATTTCAGAAAGCCAATCCTTTTATTAGCATTCACTGTTTTGCTTCCCTATTGGGTTATCAAAGTGATTTTTTTTACCCAAAACACAGACAAGGAGGAATAGTAAGAAAAAGGGATTAAAGCCTCATCAAACAGGCCCATCATCAAACAGACACTGACTCTGACATCCTTCATGGCTTAGTCAAGAAAGAATGTCAGTTTTTGTTTTAACTAAAAAGAAGTATGAGAAGGCCTCGGTCATACTCATGCCATACAAAGCACCTCTTGCTAACAGTAAGGATAGTACTCCTACTTTTTGTCATTTTGGGGCCAGTATGCCATAAAGGTAAACAAAATCTAGTTTTATCCCAAACACGCTCACATTACTATATGCAAGTTATGATCTTGAATGTAGAGGCTGCCTTGCAAGCCCACATATTGTTGCTTCAATCTCACTAAGAGGTACACTGAGAATACCATATTGATTCTATCCCAGAATACATTAAACAAACGTTTTGATATTTCCTATCAAATAAAATGGCTTTCACAGCCAAGTTAGTTGTCTCTGGAGAAGGAACTCCAATATTTACCTGAAAAATTCTAGTGAACTACCTTCTCTGTTCAGACATTGACAAAAAAGTGGTACTGCATGTTGAAGAAGACTCTTAGGCAGACCCTGGTGTAATATATAAACATGTGTCTTGTATACAGATTGTTTAAAGCTTTAAAAGTGAACATCCACACTCTGAATGGAGCCCAGAAATAAACTAAAAACTTCAGCTATTATATAGGCCCTCCACAATACTCCAAGCAACTCTAGCTATGATACTTTGAATCCGCTGCAGTTTCTGGACACTTTTCAAAAGTCAATTAAGTACTGAGCTTATTGTAATAATCCATTCTAGACATACCATCCGTCAGGGCAGGAAAGCCTCATAAAAATACAGTGCTGCCCTGATTCTCTGAAACATGCTCCCCCTGCCAACATGTGATAGGTTCCTACTTTAGTCACCTTCTGAAAAAACTCTCAAAACATGGATGTTCTGCAAGCCTACAGTGATTATCATTCCCACTCTATGCTACCTGATCAGCAGTACACTATTTTATTTTCACTGACTTCACTATTATGAGGATTGTTATGGTTTTGTGTGTTCTGACTCAGCTGTATGAACTGCCTACAAAGTTCATACAAAGTTGTAGGTGGTTTGTAACTTGGGCAGTATTCATGTAATGGAAAAAAAATAAGTCTATAACATTTTGCTTGCTTGTTGAATTATTAGTATAAAGCTGTTCATCTAAAAGCCACTTGAACCTAGAGTCGCTTGAGTAGGTGGTACACCATAATTGTAACAAACACATAAATAAATTTGTGTTTATACATGAATAAATAAAATGCTTGCAAATATCACACCAAAAGGCAAATTGTACCTAATGTGAATGACTGCAGTATTTTAAAATTCTCTTCTTCTGGAATTTCTGAACAGAACAAAACATTAAATCAGGATGACTACATACCATACTGTGTAGTTTGCAGCATTAAGATCAATGGCATCCCCGGTTAACTTGAAAGCTCTTTCACTCCTTTCATCATGTTGCAGAACAGCCCGGAAGTAATCATAAACATCTTTAACTAGACAGAAAAATTTAGTTTGTCAATTCCATCTTTGGCCTTCCTTTGCCACATTTACTCTTACTTTTTCAGATACAAAACTGTTCTTCATGCCCCAAAGTTAGCCCAAACTACTGGTGCCCTTAGTTGTAGAGCCCTCTGTATCTTTTCCCCACATTCCGTTAATATTTCCTGCTAGACTCCTGGCTCTTGCCTTCATTTTCTTGCACCCTCAAAATCCACCACATCTAGGTCATCTCCATTCACCCTCTCTTATTGCCTATTCACCTCTTCCCAGAAGACTCACAGATCTGATTCTTTTTCTTGAAATCCTTCTTCAAAATGGCTACTTTTAACTTTAACTGAATTTATGCAGCTGGGCTTCATACTAATTTTATTTTATTTTATTTTATCCTGCCTTCCATTCTACTGTTCTCCCAAGGACAAGAAACTGCCCCTTGCCCCACACCTTTATTTCAAATCACCATGAGTTCATTCACCATGAGGTAGGTAATAATATTCTTAAAAACGCCTAGAATTGAAATCAGAAGAGCAAATACAGACTTTCCCTTGCTTCATGTTAGAATTCTGTTCTCTGAAAACCTCATACAAAGCAAAGTCATATAAAGTGAGGCACTAGAATGAAAGAGATTGAAGTATATTATCAAATTTTGTACCCCAGATATATTTACAAATGTGCTCAGAAGTTTTTAGAGCCCTATCCTTAAGCACTGCATTATTCAAACCTTGTTTCCTATTTTCATCTTTGTCCCCTATTCTATGTAGAATGAAAATATTTTCTCCACCTTTTCTACAGATGGATTTCTAATGTCTGTAGTTATCATGGCAGACAAAGAGTAGAATGCATTACAGCACTATGCATTTTATTTGCATTCTTTGTTATGTTGCACACAGATGTGCCCAGGATAAAAGCTTGTCCTAGGGCTGAGGATTCTTCACCAGCTTCAGTGCAACTTAATAAGTCCAACTTTGTTTCTAGTGTTAAAGAGTTCCTTTTCCTTTTGGGTAAGGAGGTTGGACAAGATGTTGACGGCCATTTTGACCCCATAGTAATAGTAGTAGCTGCTGCAGGTAAGGAAATGAGTGGAATATACTAGAACCACACAACACAATGGTAAATGCATGAATGAGGGCAGAAAGGGGTTTTGATGGGAAAATGTTCAAGTGGTTTTGGCAGGAAAAAGTCTTGGCATGTTTCCAGACATTTGGCACAAATTGACTACGCTGGCACCCACAGTAACTTTTTTTTGGCATAAAGTGAATTCTAGGATGAAAATTACCACTCACATAATGGTAAATTTGCATAACGCATGGGAATCCTGTAGTCTTCTGATACTTCTGAGTACCACACGGTACATTTCATAGATATAAATGTTTCCTGATGCAATAAACTGTTGCTGTTGATTTGTTTGCATTTAACATTTGACTGGTGGAAAAACAACCTACCTTTCAGAACTGAGTTTTAAAGTACAACATTCGTACTTCTGAGGTTATCTAATAAGTAGCTAGATTAACTTTTAATTAACTTCAATCTCATGTAATAGCTTAAAGCAAGCACAGTTCTAATTGTAGTTTCTTTCATGTCTTGAATGATCTAACCATCTGTTTCAGCTTTGAATTCCAATGAAGAACACACAGAATTCCAGATTCTTACCAGCCATTATGAAATCCTACAAATATTTATTCCAAAGTCAACCGCAGAGTGTTTAGCGGAACTTACTCCCACAGAAGTCTGCAAAAATTTGTAATTTTAATTTATGCTGCTCAGTGATGGGTCAGCTAGTACAACTCAATTGGAAATACAATGGAGTAACAGTGACAGAACTCAAAAAATAGACACTAAGGCAAATTAGGAACCTATAGCCCTCCAATTGTTATTGAACTACAACCCCCCCCTCCACACACACACAACCGGCCACACTGGATGGTGCTATTGAGAGTTGTAATTCAGTAAAACTTGGAGTGCCAGAGATCCTGGGCTAAAGTAATACAAGGTAGAGTAAAACCAGTTGAGAAGATAAACTTGGATGGCCCATTTATTCAGGGACAATCCATTTTTATGGCCATATTTCCATGTCTATCCATACTATTGAGAAGAGGCCTCCCACTTCTTTATAAACTTCTTCTAAACTTACATTTTTCACTATATATGATTTGAACTACAGGATGTGGCCCATCATCTTGTGGAACTGGCTCAATATCAGCCCATTCCTTCCTGTTCCTGTAAAAAACATAATCAGTCAGCAGGTAGCAAATGCAAGAATGTTTCAAAGAGACATACAGTTCAAGGATATCTCCTAGATACCAAAGACACATTCATATATATTATAGTACAGCATAGTTCCTTATTGAGAATTTTCTTTAGTTAAATTGTTCTTGCAGTTGGGAGGGCAGAATTGTATGTAAAACAAATCTGATCAGTTTCAAACACTCCTACTACTATGTTCTCTATGAACATGTAGGAACGCATCATCACAAGGAGCCCTACCTGCAGAAACACAGGAAAGAGCATTTTCCCCAACTAGGTACATTACTGATGTGTTGGATTAAACAGATGGCACTCAGAATGCTGGGGTTTGTAGTCTAACGCATTTGGGGAATATCAAGTTGCAGGAGGCTGGGTAACAATAAAGAATGAACCATACAAACTTGATGTAGTGATAATACCCAAGAAAATTGACAGCCATGTATAGATAACGTTTGTGACTAGTTATGATGATGATGATGATGATTTATTTGATTTGTATGACTGCCCATCTTATCTAAGTGACTCTGTCACAACAGGTAAAAAGAATCCAATAAAAACAAGTTAAAAACCAATATACAAATATAAAAACTGTCCATAATCAATTTAAAAAACAGAAAATCACAATCGTCAGTTACATTGTCTAAGTGTTAGAAGGTTGGTGCATGTAGACATTTTTATATATTAAGACATT